GATAAACCCGCCGTAAACCCTAACCCTAAACATCCCTAAGCGGTGTAGGGTTTAGGGTGTAGGGCTTCGGGTTTAGGGTTTAGGGCTTAGGGTTTAGGGGGCTCCTTAGAGATCCCGAAGCCCCACGCCCTGTGTGCAGGAGCAGGCCGAGTTCGACTTGCCCGCGGGAGCGGGCTTCAGCGCCGTGTGGGGCCTTGCGACACGAGGGTTTAGGGTTTAGGGTTTCGGGTTTAGGGTTTAGGGTTTAGGGTTTAGGGTGTATGCTTTTGGGTTAGGTGGGGTTGAGTGTTCAGGGTTTGGAGGTTAGTGTTTTGGAGGGGCGGGGGTATTTCGGGTTTATGGTCTATAGGTTATTTGGGGCTTAGGTTGGGGGGTCTTAGGGTTCAATGCATGTTTAGGGATTGAAGCGTGCGTTGGGATCACTGCGCTGCTTGTATGTCCCGAAAACAGCTTCTCAACACGCACCGGGATCTACGAGAAGTGATCGAAACGTACAGCTCAAGATAATTTTCCTGAGGCAGCAGAATTTTTAGGGTCCCCAAACCCTAAACCTTCGACTAAACCCGAAACCCTAAACCTACTGTGGGGTTCCATCTCCGAAAGGGGGTCCAGTCTTGCCCTACACCCTAAACTCTAAACCCCAGACCCTACAAACCCGAACTAGCTAGGGTTTAGGGTTTAGGTTTAGGTTTAGGGTTTAGGGTTTAGGGTTAAGGGTTTAGGGTTTAGGGTTTAGGGTTTAGGGTTTAGGGTTGAGGGTGTCGGGTTTAGGGTTTAGGGTTTAGGGGGATGTTGGACTTCGAGGCAGACGCATGCAGATGCACTGAGGTCTGGAGCCTGCGCCAGGCGCCAGAGCAGCCGGTCCTACAGGCCGTGCATCTGTGAGCTGTCGCGGACGGCTAGGACCCAGGGTAGGCCCTTATTCGCTTTTTTGGGGCCTGGGTTCGCTTATCACCCCCTTTACACCAACAGGGCACCCTTCTTATTCCTCGGTTACTCCTGGATCTAGTAAAGGGGGTTCCTTGCGGTGTAAGGTTTCGGGTGTAGGGTTTAGGGTTCAGTGCTATCGTGTGAATGAATCTAGTTCCCCGTAGTGAAAAAATAGTTGCCCATATTAGCGAGTTTAGAGCTTATGGCTCGCAATGCAGAGGATTCAGGGGTTAGGAGAGGGGTTTATCGGTCTAGAGGTTTTAGAGCTAGAGGTCGTATAGAAAAGGCCAAAGCCCTCAGCGGCCAAGCTGGTAAGCCTCAGAACTCAACCCAACCCCACTTAGGCCGCCCGATCCCAAAAACTCCCAAGCCCTTCACAACCCTCAACCCTATAAACCCCCTCTCCCCCCTAAACCCGACACCCGAAAGCCGAAACCCTAAAACCCCTAAACCTGAAACAACCTATCCTCTGCACAGGCAGCCGCCAAGCGTGCAGTGGCTGCAGCTGCTACCTCGGACCTCAGTGCCGTTTGTGCGATGGCTGCATGCCAAAGAGGTTGCGGGGTTAGGGGCAAGGGGTTTAGGGTTTAGGTTGTAGGGTTTAGGGTTCACGTCGAAATACTCCAACCTGCAACTGTGAATCTCAAGCTTCCGAGTGGCGGCACGTTTGGGTGCTGGCGATTGGGGTTAGAGAGGGTTTAGAGGATTTAGGTTTCAGGGTTTGGTGCTTACAGTGTCTTGGGGTTGTGGGTCATGGAGCTCTATATACAAACTCCCAACCTGAGATGCGCGCACCCTTCACGGTGAACCCCAACACTAAGTTTAGGGTTTAGGTGCAGGCTTCATCTAAGGGAAGTTACAATGTCCCTTAGTATGGTCCTCCCCTTCTTTAAAGGGTTCTGAGGTATGGGCCCTTGGGTTTATCGGGTAGATAAGGGGTATAAACGGGTTCCCCAATTCAGGGCCCAAATAAAGGGACCATGCACCTGATGGGAAGTCTGAGTCGTTGGTTTCTCAGGCCCTGCCGCCCCATCGCTACGTTCTGATCTCCGGCCCCAAGCGCAGCCGCTTGGTAGCCAGCGGGAGCTTGGGGGAATGGGGTTGTTCAAGGGGCTAGTTCCATTGTGGTTCAAGGATGATATAGGATTTCCGGGGTTCTTAGAGTCGGTTCAGGGCTTTCGTTCGCCAGGCTTTCAAGGTTTGTAACAGGGTAGGTGTGTTTCGAGATACATCAGCCCCAGCAAAGGCATGCTCCTGGAGACCACGGAAGAGATCGAGGACGCTGCGGGGAAGAGGGTGGTGAAAGAACCCTAAACCCTAAACCCTAAAGACGGGCCGATGATGGGCATCTTACCTCTTCTGGATGCGCAGGATTCCGCGGCTGTCGGGGCCGCGAGGTGTGGGGGATTCTGGTGCTGTCGACGGGCTCTTCCTGAAAGTGGAGAGAGTGATGCCGATGATGCGTGGGGTTGTGTGGCTGTTGGGGGTTCTTGGAAGAGATGGAGGGGGCCGTGATGCCGATGATGCGCTGGGTTCTGTGGCATTTGGGGGCTCTTGTGAGAGATGGAGGGGCCGACGATGCGCGGGGTTCTGTGGCTGTTGGGGGCTCTTCTGAGAGATGGAGGGGCCGTGATGTCGATGATGCGCGGGGTTGTGTGGCTGTTGGGGGCTGTTGTGAGAGATGCCGATGATGGGCGGGGTTCTGCCTAGACATGCAGGGAATCGGGGGAGAAACAAAGGGGCAGTGATGCCGATGATGCGCTGGGTTCTGTGGATGTTGGGGGCTCTTGTGAGAGATGGAGGGGCCGTGATGCCGATGATGCGCGGGTGTTGGGGGCTCTTGTGAGAGATGGAGGGGCCGTGATGCCGATGATGCGCGGGGTTGTGTGGCTGTTGGGGGCTGTTGTGAGATGCCGATGATGGGCGGGGTTCTGCCTAGACATGGAGGGAATCGGGGGAGAAACAAAGGGGCAGTGATGCCGATGATGCGCTGGGTTCTGTGGATGTTGGGGGCTCTTGTGAGAGATGGAGGGGGCGTGATGCCGATGATGCGCGGGTGTTGGGGGCTCTTGTGAGAGATGGAGGGGCCGTGATGTCGATGATGCGCGGGGTTGTGTGGCTGTTGGGGGCTGTTGTGAGATGCCGATGATGGGCGGGGTTCTGCCTAGACATGGAGGGAATCGGGGGAGAAACAAAGGGGCAGTGATGCCGATGATGCGCTGGGTTCTGTGGATGTTGGGGGGCTTGTGAGAGATGGAGGGGCCGTGATGCCGATGATGCGCGGGTGTTGGGGGCTCTTGTGAGAGATGGAGGGGCCGTGATGTCGATGATGCGCGGGGTTGTGTGGCTGTTGGGGGCTGTTGTGAGATGCCGATGATGGGCGGGGTTCTGCCTAGACATGCAGGGAATCGGGGGAGAAACAAAGGGGCAGTGATGCCGATGATGCGCTGGGTTCTGTGGATGTTGGGGGCTCTTGTGAGAGATGGAGGGGCCGTGATGCCGATGATGCGCGGGTGTTGGGGGCTCTTGTGAGAGATGGAGGGGCCGTGATGTCGATGATGCGCGGGGTTGTGTGGCTGTTGGGGGCTGTTGTGAGAGATGCCGATGATGGGCGGGGTTCTGCCTAGACATGGAGGGAATCGGGGGAGAAACAAAGGGGCAGTGATGCCGATGATGCGCTGGGTTCTGTGGATGTTGGGGGCTCTTGTGAGAGATGGAGGGGCCGTGATGCCGATGATGCGCGGGTGTTGGGGGCTCTTGTGAGAGATGGAGGGGCCGTGATGTCGATGATGCGCGGGGTTGTGTGGCTGTTGGGGGCTGTTGTGAGATGCCGATGATGGGCGGGGTTCTGCCTAGACATGGAGGGAATCGGGGGAGAAACAAAGGGGCAGTGATGCCGATGATGCGCTGGGTTCTGTGGATGTTGGGGGCTCTTGTGAGAGATGGAGGGGCCGTGATGCCGATGATGCGCGGGTGTTGGGGGCTCTTGTGAGAGATGGAGGGGCCGTGATGTCGATGATGCGCGGGGTTGTGTGGCTGTTGGGGGCTGTTGTGAGAGATGGAGGGGCCGTGATGTCGATGATGCGCCAGGTTTGCCTAGACATGGAGGGGCCGTGATGCCGACTTGGGGAGAAACGGAGGGGCCGTGATGCCGATGATGCGCTGGGTTCTGTGGCTGTTGGGGGAGATGGAGGGGCCGTGATGCCGATGATGCGCTGGGTTCTGTGGCTGTTGGGGGCTCTTGTGAGAGATGGAGGGGCCGTGATGCCGATGATGCGCTGGGTTCTGTGGCTGTTGGGGGCTCTTGTGAGAGATGGAGGGGCCGATGATGCGCGGGGTTCTGTGGCTGTTGGGGGCTCTTGTGAGAGATGGAGGGCCGTGATTCCGATGATGTTGTGTGCCTGATGGGGGATGGAGGGGCCATGATGCCGATGATGGGCAGGATTCTGCCTAGACATGGAGGGATGGAGGGCCGTGATGTGGATCGGGGGAGAAACGGAGGGGCCGTGATGCCGATGATGCGTTGGGTTCTGTGGCTGAGAGATGGAGGGGCCGTGATGCCGATGATGGGCGGGGTTCTGCCTAGACATGGAGGGGCCGCTATGCCGATCGTTCTGGGGGCGTGATACCGATGATGCGTGGGGTTGTGTGGCTATCGTCGGTTGTTGTGAGCGATGGAGGGGCTGTTGGGGGGCGGGGCCGTGATGCCGAGTGATGCGCAGGGTTCTGTGGCCGTCAGGAAGCCCTTCTCAGCCAGACAGACTCTGTTAAACAGTGTAAACCCCCACCAAAACTCCGCTAAGAACCCTGCGCGCTCATATAAAAACAAACACAGAGCGAGAGAGAGAGAGAGAGAGAGAGGGAGAGGGAGAGGGAGAGGGAGAGGGAGAGGAGAGAGGGAGAGGGAGAGGGAGAGCGGGAGAGGGAGAGAGGGAGAGGGAGAGGGAGAGGGAGAGGGAGAGGGAGAGGGAGAGAGAGACAGAGAGAGAGAGAGAGAGAGAGTGAAAAAAAAGTCGCTGAAAAATCACAGCCCCAAGCTGCAGGAGATCAGTCAGCCCCGCGGGTGGGATATGACGCTGCCGACGCTGTCGGCTGGGCCCGTCCTCTCCGGGAAGCTCCTGGTGGCTTGGTTGCTTTGTTTTGGGCTATATTCTGTTTAGAAGGTTAAAAGGGTCATGTAGGGGTTTATCGGGCTTAGTATAATGTTGCAAGGCTTTGGGTTGTATAGGGTGCATAGGGTCTAGCCCTCTTTTTGTTGAGTTTCGGGTTCTCGAACCCCCAAGACCCTTCACCCCTTGATGCCGCAACAGGGCCGTCAGAAAGATACGAAGGTGCAGTTGACCCCGCAACGAGCCCTTTTCATGCCGGCTGCTCCGGGCAAAGGCAGCGAGGGCGGGTTGAGGGCGTTCCGGATTTGCCGGTTGATCGGAAACTTAAAGAGGTTGAGCATACCAAATTCCTGAATATCGTATAGCATCTCGCATAGAAGATCATATAGTTCAGTATATAAGTTAACATAGTTACTATGATATGGCCGTATATGTATGTCAGGCCTTTCTGGTAGCCTAGGCGAAATTAAGCAGAAGAGCCTAGCAATAGAGACGCGAAACAGGGTCACGATTTTTCATCCATCCTACTGGAGGGCTTCCCTACACCCGAAACCCGAACCACAAACCCTGAACCCTAAACCCTCCACCCCATAAAGCCCCCTGTTTTATAGAGGGAGTTGAGGAGCACAGGGCTTATAATTTTCATTCGGCCGGAAGGGGCTGGCTGTAACTTCCTACGTACTACATCTATGGGCTTGAAACCGGAAGCCCTAAAACCCTAAACCCTAAACCCTAAACGCTAAACCCGAAACCCTAAACCCTAAACCCTAAAGCCTAAACCCTAAACCCTATAAACCCTAAACTGTAAGCCGAATACATGCACATACAGGGCTCCACTCCTGCGCGAAGCTTGTTTTCCGAGCCCTAAACCCTAAACCCTAAACCCTAAACCCTAAACCCTAAACCCTAAACCCTGAACCCTAAACCCTAAACCCTAAACCCTAAACCCTGAATCAGCTCTCCGAATCCCGAAGCCCAGAAGTTCTCTTGAACCCTGAAACCGGAAGCGGGTTATAGGGTTTATAGGGTTTATAGGTTTTCTAGGGCTATGTACATGCGGTTTACTACGGCCTTAGGGTTTTTTTCTTGGGGGGGGGGGGGGGGGGGGGGAAGGCATTTTAGGGTTTATAGGTTCTTTTGGGGGTTATGGGGTTTAGCCTAAACCCTCAACCCTGAAACGTTTAGGGTTTGGTGAAACGTGCCGCCAGGTACCGTTCCACCCGCGGTGGCTTATCCTTCTGGGTGCCGGGCGTGGGGAAACCCAGTCTAAATTCTAAACCCTCAACTCTCAACCCCCTTTAGGGTTTAATTAGGGTTTACTGGGGTTCAGGGCATAGGGCTTAGGGTTTAGGGTTTTAAGGTTTTAAGGTTTAGCACGCCCTGCTTGCAGCTGCAATGCAATCCAAATGCCGAAGCCGCCTGAACTCTCGATTGAGGGCTTGGGGTTGGGGGTTATAGAAATATCCCCCCCCCCCTCCGCCGGCTTCATTAACCATATATTTTCCTGATATTCCTGCTAGATGCCCTAAACCCCAAACATATCGGGTCCCAGGAACAGCTCAAGAGCCATTCTTCCCAGGGTGCAGGCGAGCGTGTGCGACCCCTTCGTCGTCTTGCGCTGTCAGGCACGCTGTGGGTAAGGTTTCTCATGGTTATAAGCTCTCTCTCTCTCTCTCTCTCTCTCTCTCTCTCTCTCTCTGCTCATACCGTAGAAGTGTCAGCGTCACTGCAGGATTAGTAGGTCTTCAGTTTCGGGTTTAGGGTTTTTGGGTTTTGGGGGTTAAGGGTTTTTAGGGGTTAGACTTTTTGGGTCAGCGGTTTAGGGTTTGTGGTTTCAGGGTGTAGTAGGGTTTTCGGGTTTTAGGGTTTGGGGCTCCTTAGGTGCATGGGCTTCTGCCGGTGAAAAGTCTTCAATCGTGGCCCTTCGCCATAGTCCCTAAACCCGATTCCTTTCACGGATCTTACCTCCTCCCTTAGGTGAAAAGCAGAGTGATGCAGGGTTGGTTGTGAGGCTTTAATGGCTTAGGGATTGTGCAAAGTCACCTTCCCGATCCCCATGTCAGCAGCGGAGGATGGTTCCCTCAAGCTGCTGTCTGTGGCAGAGGGCCGGATTCCAACCGTTGGGGGTGTGGCGTTGAGGGCTGGCGGAGGCTTCACACGAGCCTTGTTCTTAGTTCAGGGCCTTGTCTTGGTAAAACCCTGTGAACCCCAATATTCTCAACTACTTCTGTCCCGACAATCGCAAGACGCTTTAACCTAAAACTCTCTATAATGCATTACTACACTCCAATCCTAAACCCCAACACCGGAAAAAAAGGGAACGTAATTCAGGAATCCTTCGGTTTAGCCCTCAAAAGCCTCCGCCGTAAACTCTAATCAGCCCCCATTCGCTTGAACCCAAAGCCCGAAGCCCAAACAAAAGGCCAAAACCCTAACACCCTGAGCCCCAAACCCAACACCCAACACCCAAAACCCCAAACCCTCAGCCGTAACACCCAAACCCTAACACCCTAAACCGGAAACCCTAAACCCAAAGCACTAACCAGACACCCCAAACCTCAAAGCCCTAAACCCTAAAGCCCAAACCCAAAGCCCTGTCTAAGCCCAAACCCCATTCAAACCCTAAACCCAAAGCCCTATCACCCTAAACCAAATCCTAAACCCTAAACCCAAAAGCCCTATCACCCTATACACCAAAAGAAAACCCAAAGCCCTATCACCCTTAGCCCTAAACCCCAAACCCCAAACCCTACACCCAAAAGCCCTATCACCCTAAACCCCAAACCCTAGTCTCAAAACCCTATCGCCCTCAACCCCCAACCCCAAACCCTAAACCCTAAACCCAAAGTCCTATAAAACCAAACCTCAAACCCAAACTCTAAACCCTGTCACCTTACAGCCCAAACCCCAAGCAATAAGCCCAGGCCCAGCCCTGCGAGACCACACCGGCCAAGCTGCCTTCAAGGTGTGCCGTGTAGAGTTTTGGGTTTAGGGTTTAGGGTTTATGGTGGTAGGGTTTAGGGTTTAGGGTCTTGGATTTTTTTTTTTTTTTTTTTTGGGGGGGGGGGGGGGGTTAGGATTTAGGATTTAGGACCAGGGTTGTTGTTTGAGCTGTTGGCTGTTAGAGTTTACAGCTTGGGGTTTGGGGTTTCAGAGTGTAAGGGTTCGGGGGTTTAGGATTTCGGCCTTTAGAGATGCGGCTTTTATGTTCCACGGCTTTACAGTAGTACAGTTTAGGGTATAGAGATGTTTGGAGTCTACAGCTTCGGGTTCAAGATTTTAGAGTTTAGGGCTCAAGGCTTTTGAGCTGAGGCTTTGCGGTTTATTCGCAGTTTGAGGTGTGTTGTTCTCTCTGTTGTTAGCAGCTTAGGGCTCAGGATTTAGAGTGTAGAGTTTAGGGTTTTGGAGGTTCGCGCTTGTGGCGTTACCGTAGCGCTACAGTTTGGGAAGTTTCAGGATTTCAGAGGTCAGGGCTTGGGGGCTTCCAGTTTCGTTTTTTCAAGTTTGGGGTTTCGAACGGTGGTGTTTAGACGGGGCTACACGGCACCGCGCAATCCCTATACCATCCCTAATGCCTGAACCCGAAGCCCCTAAACCCTAGTCCCCAAACAGCCAAGCCTCAACCCTTCCTCCCGAACCTTCAAAACCCTAGCCCCCAAAAACACTTATTCCCTCAATCCGCTCACTCCCTAAACTCTAAACCCTGAACCCTGAACCCTAAACCCTAAACCCTAGACACTAAATCCTACACCCTAAACCTTAAACCCTAAACCCTAAACCCCAAACCCTGCACCCTAAACCCTAAACCCAGGAGCTTGCTGCAGCAAGTTGGGCTGCCCTCGCGAGCACACAGAAAGGTCTCTGGCTGACGGTGCTGACGCCCCAACAGCGAGGTGTGGCGACTTCGGGTTGGGGGGTTTAGGGGTTTAGGGGTTTAGGGGTTTAGGGGTTTAGGGTTTAGGGGTTTAGGGGTTTAGGGGTTTAGGGGTTTAGGGTTTAGGGGTTTAGGGGTTCAGGGGTTTAGGGCTCAGGGGTTTAAGGGGTTTAGGGGGGGTTTAGGGGTTTAGGGTTTCAGGGTTTAGGGGTTTGGGGTTTAGGGGTTTGGGGATTAGGGGTTTAGGGGTTTAGAGGTTTAGGGGTTCAGGGGTTCAGGGGTTTAGGGGTTTAGGGGCCCGCAGGGGTTCAGGGTTTAGGGGTTTACAGGTTTAGGGGTTTACAGGTTGAGGGGTTGAGGGGTTTAGGGGTTCAGGCGTTTGGGGGTTTAGGGTTGACGGGTTTGAGGGTTCAGTGGTTCATCGGTTTCCGGGTTTAGTGGTTTACTTGGGTTCAGGGAGCTGCCCCTGGCGCCTGCCAAACCCCAAACCCTAAACCCCAAACCCCAAACCCGAAACCCGAAACCGGAAGCCCCAACCCTAAACCCCAAAACCCCTCAAACTCACAGGGCCCCTTCCGAAGCAGCGGCTTAGTCCTTATCAAGATACTTCTTGGGGGCATTGCCTGGTCTCGGGCATGGTTTGGGGTTCAGGATTTAGGTTAGGATTTCAGGGTTTGGGGTTTAAGGAATCAGGGTTCAGGGAGAATTAGGGTTTTGGGGGTTTAAGGTAGTAGGGTTTAGGGTTGAAGGATTTAGGGTTCAGGTTGAGAGCTTAGGTTTTGGGCGAACATGTTCCACTTGGAGCGAAGGACTCGCCCCCTGTACACTTTTAAGCCAGAACAAAAGCCTTTCTAGCCAGCTTTCCAGAAAGGTCGAAGCATCCCTAGACATAGGTCATTAATCCCAAGCCCTAGTTAAACCCTAAACGCTAAACCCTAAACCCTAAACCCTACACCCTAACATCCCCCTTCAACTATCAGTACACCTGCCCGGTAGGGCTTCGACCTCAAGCGAAGGCCTGAACCCGAAACATACAGCCCTTGCGACCTTGGCGCCCCAAGCCCATTGAACCCTAAACCCTAAACCCCGCAAACCCCCTGAACGCTACGCCCCTAAACCCTACAACCCTGTAAAACCCCTACAACCCTACAACCCTAGTACCATACAGCCCTACAACCCTGCAACCCTGAAGTTTAAACCTACCACCCTAATTCCTAACCCCCCCCCCCCCCCCGAAGGCTTGCTCGTCGTCTTCAAACTGACGGCAAGTGCAAACCTCGGTGGAACGCCGGCTTGGGGGGCTCGATCGTGGAGGGCCCTAAACCCTAAACCGTAACCCTGAACCCTAAACCCTGGGTGTACAGGGCTGCGGGTGAGGGATTTAGCGTTTAAAGCGATTACATGGGTTATTTATGGGGTCTTCGGGTTTATTGGGTTTTGGATTTATCGGGCTCACATGTTTGACAGAGTTTACAGAGTTTACAGGGATTACAGGGGTTACAGGGTTTAAGGGTTTTATAGGCGTTTAGTGTGTATAGGGCTTAAGGGTTTACAAGGCTTAGGGGTAAAGACCTTCAAGCACTCGAAAGCGATACTAGCCCTCTCAATGCCCACTGAAGGCCTGAGACTTATAGGGCTTTCCTGTTTGTTTTGTTTTCGGTTTTCTAGGTTGTTTAGGGTTTGTAGGGTGTTTAGGGTGTTTAGGGTGTTTTTAGGGCTTAGAAGCTTAATGGGTTGACAGGGTTTACCCCCAACTTCTCAACAGGCTCTGCCCAAACGGCTCAGACTTCTCCCTGCGGAATAGTTGGGATTAAGGTTACAGGATTTTGGGTCAAACCCAAAATCCTAAATCCTAAACCTTAAATCTTCTAAACCCTAATCCCTAAACCCTAAATCCTACACCCAGAACCCTTCCCCCTAAACCCTGCCTAGGTGGTAGCGCGGTGTCTGTGGAGGAGGTCTTTCGGACATCCCGCTTGTCGGATGTGCCGCCAGTGTTGAGGTGTGGCCCCTGGGTTGTTTGAGGGTTAGGGTTTAGGGTTTGGGGTTTGGGGTTTAGGGTTTCGGGTTTAGGGTTTAGGGTTGACGCGTGGCCTGGGCCGGAGATTCGCAAGGCCACTTTACATCACAAATTGTTTGGTAAACCCAAACCCTCCCAGAATCCATTCTCATTTGAATTGTATATCCAGTTTTCTTAATTGACTCGGCACTGCGTACATGCGTGCTTCCAAAAAAGTTCCTCCGTCAGATTCAGCGAAAAGTTGCCGATTCCAGTAATATTTAGGCACAGATTTTGATGGCAGAGATGACACCATGATTTTCTAGATTTTCGGGTTCCAAGGGCCAAAGGTTTGTTTCGAGGGGGTCCCAGGGAGGTACAGGCGGGTGCCAGAGAGATGTCCAGAGAGTCCAAGGGGGCCAGGCGAACCCAACCCCATAAAGCCTAGAAGCCCTACGACCCTACAAATCCAAGACCCTAAAACCCTAAACCCTTATGCAGGATCTTTAGGGCTCGGCTGGCCTGTCTGTGGAGAGGGTGCTTCCCCCTAAAGCCCTGTACTTCCTAAACCCCTGAACCCCAAACCCCCTGAATCCTGCACCTAAAACCCCCAAACTCCTGAGCCCTAACCCCTATAGAAAGCCTCGACAGGGCCAGGAGTGATGTTGATTCCGAATGGCCCTTTGAACCGTCAGGGGGTTGTGAGCTTCATTTCTTTGAGGTCCTAGGGTGTCCGGCATTGGGGCTCTAGGGTTAAGGCCGTTGGGGCTGTTGGGTTGTTGGGCTGAGGGTGTGGGGTTGAGGGTTTGGGTTTGGTGTTCTTGGGCGGGTTTTGGGGGATGCCTTACACATACCCGGTCGCTTTGCAACCCGCCTGGCTAAGCCCTAAGCTCAAAACCCTCAAGCCAAAAGCAGTCAACCGTAGCCCCTCAACACGGCACCCTAAACCCTAAGCCCTCAGCCCGGCACCCCCTCTACCCCTGCGAGAACGCTGTAACTGCGGGCAGGAAGACCCCGGCGGCCGAGCCGGATGATGAGGAGCTTAGGGTTTATAGGTTTAGGGTTTAGGGTTTAGGGTTCAGGGTTTAGTCAGGCAGCGGGTGGCGGTTGACTCAAGCCGGAGAACTTCTCAGGACGCGGTCAATCAACTCAGCCCATCGTGGGACTACCTGTGCCGAAGACGCATTTCAGGGGCCCAGCTTCTAGGATCCGGATCCGAGTAGGCCCTTATTTCCTTTTTTTTAGGGTTGGGTTCCGCTTATAATCCCCTTAAAACCACAAAGGGTACCCTTTTTTTCCTAGGCTACTCCTGGGTCCAGGCTTGCAGAGAAACTGACGACACCCAACCTGAAGGAGGATTGAGTCTGTTTCAGTCAGTAGTATAGTAGGGTTTAGTGGGGTCTAGGTCAAGCAGGGTTTAGTAGGGCTCAGTCGGGGTTTGGGTTTTGGGCTTAGGTCCCCGAAAGACCCTCAGCTAGCTCCCAAAATGGCTCCTAGGGTCTCTATTATGCCATGGCCTCTTCTGTTCAGGGTTTGTGGGGTGAACCCCAAACCCCAAACCCCAAACCCCAAACCCCAAATCCCAAAGCCCAAAGCCCAAAGCCCAAACCCCAAAGCCCAAAGCCCAAACCCCAAACCCCAAACCACAAACCCCAAACCCCAAACCCCAAACCCCAAACCCCAAACCCCAAACCTTACACCCGAAGCCTAAACCTAAACCCTCAAACCCTAAACCCTACAAGTCCAAGCCCCAAGCCCCAAGCCCCAAGCCCCAAGCCCCAAGCCCCAAGCCCCAAGCCCCAAGCGCTAAGCTGATTTTGGCGCCCTTTAAGGAGCCTCGAAAAAGAACGAGCAAGCCTTTTTGTATAGGGGTGTAGGGTCCTGGGCTTGGGAGGGCTTAGGGTTTAGGGTTTAGGGTTTAGGGTTTGGGGTGGAGGGTTTAGGTTGTACGGGGGGGGGATCCTATGAAGCATCCGAAACCCCGAATCGGTTAGATTTGCAGAAGAGTCATACTACAAGATATCCTCCTTAAGGTGCCCTGAACCCGAACCTGAACCCTGCATCCTTTTACCCTGAACCCTAAATCCTAAACCCTATGCCCTTAACCCTAAACCCTAGACCTTTACTCTACACCTAAGCCCTGATACCCGTCCTAGTTCTTGTCTTTGCCCGGCCGAGGCGTCCAATCACGGACGCCGCAGCCTCGGGTTTAGGGTTTAGGGTTTAGGGTTTAGGGTTTAGGGTCTAGGGTCTAGGGTTTAGGGTTTAGGGTTTAGGGTTTAGGGCTCGGAAAACAAGCTTCGCGCAGGAGTGTTCACAACACCCTATATACTCCAATCCCGAAACTCTTTGGTCACTGTTGATTAGTTCTGCCCACCCCCCCCTCTCCCTCCGCGAACGTTGCGAAAATGAATGAAAGGGTTTAGGTTTCAGGGCCCCTAAACCCTAAACCCTCAACCCTAAACCCTAACCCCTAAACCTCTCCAAAGAGCATGTCTCAGTTGCTGTCCCCCCCTCCCAACCCCTCAAAACCCTGAACCCTCTAAGCCCGAAACCCGGTACCCGAAGCCCAAGCCCCCACACCCTGAATGCTAAAAGCCCCGCACCCCAAAATCCTAGACTCCGCAAACGCCCTAAACCCTAAACCCTAAACCCTAAACCCTAAACCCTAAACCCTAAACCCTAAACCCTAAACCCTAGTACCCTAAACCCAGATCGCGGCTGTTCCGAGACCCTCAACGCAGGTCTCGGCTCCTCTTCCTCGGAATAGCCTGGAGATGACGACGAAGGCGCCGAGGGGTTTTTGTGGGTTTAGGGTTTCGGGCTAGGGTTTAGGGTTTAGGGTTTATGTTTTAGGGTTTAGGGTGTTGGGGTTAAGGGTTTAGGCGGTTTGTAGTGCTGAGGGCAGGGAGTTGGTCAAAAAAAAGTTTCGGGGTGTTTTGTGTTTGTTGGGAGCCCTTTGGTTAGCGTTTAGGGCGCGAGGTTTCGGGGTAACCAGGGTTTCCGGTTTTGGTTTTGGGGTTTACGGCTTAAGGGTTGTTTGAATGGCTTGGGATAACTAGACTCCATAGTCTTTCTCGCACATATCGGAGCTCTTCCTGGCGTAGAGGTTCTTGGGCCGAGAGGGCTTGTTGAACGCCGAGCACATGGCAGGGTCCAAATTCTGTTCTTGGTGAGTGTATTATGTATATAGACCATTACAGTTTTATTTAGGAAATGAATACATATAAATTGATACATACATGTATAATATGGAATATCAGTGGGTGTATAGATTAGGGTTTAGGGGGTAGAGTTCAGGGCTCAAGGTCCGAAACCTTTCCTCGACCCTCGGAAGGCAGAGGAGGAGACAGCAAGCGTGGCGCGCACCTTAATGTTTTCATGCGGGAGCCGCTGCTTTGCAAAGAAGGTGATGCTTGGTGGTAAGAAATTCCGACACTTGATTTCAGTCCCTTGGGTTGAGGCCCAGAAGCCCTACAGAGCCTAAGACCTGCCTTTTTTTAGTTTACCGGCTTCGAATAAGAAACCGACAAGAGAGTCCCACACGAAGAGGAGGCGCGGAGGTTCAAACTTCCCAGGCCCGAAACCCTAAACCCGAAACCCTAAACCCCAAACCCCAAACCCTAAACCCTAAACCCTAAACCCTAAACCCTAAACCCTAAACCCTAAACCCTAAACCCTAAACCCTAAACCCTAAACCCTAACCCCTTGAAACATTCTCCAGCCCTGGCCCCAAAGTCCCTACCTCCCTTCTACCCTCCTTTCCTGTGCCATTGGCAATGACCGATGCACCGATTCCGACGGAGATGTTCGGCCAGCCCCAGAGCCCAAAGAGCGAATCTGAGACCGACTCTCAGGAAAGGTGAATTTAGCAGCAGCTTTCACCTTTCAGTTGCAGGCATCTAAACTTCCTTGTGGCCCAACAAAAATCTGCTCCTAACCCTAAACCCTAAACCCTAAACCCTAAACCCTAAACCCTAAACCCTAAACCCTGAACGCAGCAGGACTTAGAGGAGCTCTACAGCAGCCTCATCTCCGAGATGCTCCCGACCCGAGCTGAAATCCTGCGGGCGACGCGCGCCTCCCGGGCGCTGCAGTGCCTGGGTCGCCCCTTCCGGCAACTCAGGGATACTTGGGAATACTTCTATTTTTAGGGTTCAGGGTTTAGGGTTTAGTTTAGGGTTTAGGGTTCAGGGTTCAGGGTTCAGGGTTTAGGGTTTAGGGTTTAGGGTTTAGGGTTTAGGGTTTAGGGTTTAAACGTTTTACAAACATTGCTAGGGTTCCACGTTCAGTATAGGCAAGGAAAGGGCGACTTCTACGACCGCAGCGTCCCATCCACTCGGATTTCCTCCTTTTGGTCGCACCTTGGCAGCCCAGGTGTGCCCCTTTTTCCCTTTCTTTTTGGTTCAAGGCTCCCTTAGAAAGTAGCCCAACTCCAAAAGAGGGTACCCTAAACCCTAAACCCTAAACCCTAAACCCTAAACCCTAAACCCTAAACCCTAAACCCTAAACCCTAAACCCTAAGCCCTAAGCCCTAAACCCTAAACCCGAAACCCTAAACCCTAAACCCTAAACCCTAAACCCTAAACCCTAAACCCGAGGCACAGCTGGCATGGAGCAGTGTGGCCAAAGATTCTCACCTTGCTGCTCATGAACAACGGGACCGCCGCAGCGGTGCTAAGCTCCGCCTCCGTGGTGCTGGTGGGCTTTGTATCTTTGTCATAGTTGGGGAACATGTTACAAATTTTAGGGTTACTTAAACCCAATAAGGAAAAAAATATATATATATATATATAAATGTTTCATACTATCCCAACCATATACATTTTTAATACTATCCCAACCATGAACTAGGTATATGGCTCTGGAGTTTTGCCCTTCTTCTATCTGGGGTGGTGTTGCACAACCGGGGCCTTGACGTACACGCTCGTGATGGTGTTCTGGCGCAGCCGCCAGTTGGTGTTCGTGGACAGGATCTGCATCTCCCAATCGGATCTTCGGGGGCAACGAAGACGAAACCTAAAACTGAGTTCACACTACTCCACCCCCTTATATTGTGCTCTCATCCTCGTGTTAAAGCACGTAGTGTATGAACCACAAAACCTTTCGGCCTCCATCTCGCCCCCTGAACCCTGAACCCTGAACCCTGAACCCTGAACCCTAAACCCCAAACCCTAAACCCTAAACCCCAAACCCTAAACCCCAAACCCTATAAGGATGAGGAGCTGAAGGGGGAGGCTCTTATCAGCCTGGGGGCTTTCCTGAAATGCGCCGACTCGATGCTTGTCCTCTGGGATCCGACCTACGTGGAGCGTCTGTGGTGCCCGAGCTCTTGTCGAGGGTTTAGGGTTTAGGGTTTAATTTAGGGTTTAGGGTTTAGGGTTTAGGGTTCAGGGTTTTGGGTGTAGGGTTTAGGTTCAGGGTGTAGGGTTTCGTCCGAACCTGATGGTGAGAGACAAAGTTTTTTTTTGGCCGCATGTTCAAGGTTGAGGGTTGCATGTGCAGCACAGGTGTGTTTTCGAACTCGCAGCCTTCCTGCACAGCCGCCAGCGGGGAATGAAGCCAGACCTGACGATCCGACCCACCGTGTTGGGTCCCGCTGTTCCTTGGGGGCCGCATGAACCCTAAAAGGGTATTATGGTTCATATAACCTGAATAGGAACTAGAGTAGAACCGGGTCTGTCACCCCCAATTTTAGGGCTCATTTGGTGTCCCAGGTTCTCCTCATCCTCGCACAGCTCTTCGCCGCCAACGCTGCGAGTTCTGTGGCTTGGAACATGATGGGAGCTGGCTTGGAGTTCTATGTGGGCCATGCAGTGCTGGCCATTGGGACCGTGGTCCTTGCCGTGCACATCGGGCGCTCATACTGCCGCAGCATCGCGAAGCTGCACGAGGAAGTCTCAGGGTTCCGAGTCGACAGGTTGAAGAGCTACTGCTGCTCCGTGGATCACCATGACCCAACATCAGGGGAGGCCATGCCCTGCGACCGGAAGATCATCCTGCAGTGCGTCCGCACGTGGTTTGACACGGTCCAAGCTTTCGAGCGCCGAGTCCAGACGGAGGTCTTGCAGATCCTGATCTACCAGCTTTCCAATGAGGCTCTGGCGAATTCGTGGGGGGTCCTTGGGTGGTTTGACCCGTTTTGCACGTATTCGCAGAAACGTCTCAGCCCACCACCGGCAGGTGTCCCCAAGTGTGTCCTTCTCAGAATAGGAGTACCCCTCACATGCCCTCCAACATACGATTTTAATATAGGAGCACCCAAAAAAGGGGTACCCCGATTTTCGAAAACGCCCGAATAGCTTCAGGGCCCCTCTGACGACCCATCCCCCAAGCTAGCTGCTGACCTGCCACGCTGCCACCGCGCACCCGTGAGGTGTTGCACCTAAACCACAAGCTTGTAAATCCCCTGCGCCTGCAAACCTGCACCCTGAACCCTAAACCCTTAGAATAAGCCTTAGAGCCCTGCAGAGGGTTTCGGGGCACTTTCTGCCTGAGGTTTGGGACTTAAGAAAACCAGGGTTTAGGGCTTATAGGGGCTCGGGCCTTTCGGGTTCGGGGTAGAGGGTTCACAACGGCGGAAAGGTAGGGTTTCGACTTTCGGGCGTAGGATTTAGGCACTCGTCTGAGAGGTGTTTTCCTACTGGCAAGCAGTGGTGCTTACCACACCCATTGACTCCCGGCCCAAGTTGGAAACGATGTCGTTGTTGTTTGAGTGCTGTCGAGTCTTTCGAGGCAAGGGAATTCTGATCCAAGAAAAAACCCCGAGGCCCCCTAAACCCCACACCCCGTAAGCTTGAAGCTTTAAGCTCCGATCCCCGCTCAGGCATGGCGCTACGCCGACCTCGGCTTTGACTGGGTCCTTGCTGGGGACGCCACCAAGGCGGTGCACAACTTCATGCGTGGCTTCACCTATTGGTTCGCAGTCTCTCCGACCTTGACCTTGCGGCTTGGATGTTCTTGAAGAGTTTTGGGTTTCGGCTTTGGGGCGCGCCCTTCTTGCAGTGCCAGACCCAGCTGGACCTTTAACTTCGATGTTGAGCTAGCCAAGAACAGTAATGTTAACGTCGCTTTAATAAACCCCCCCCCCCCCAAAACTTGTTTTGGTCCCCGGGGTTTGGAGGGGTCGAAAAAAACGAGTGGGTGCCAATAATGCGGATTCTGGGGGTCTTGGGGGGGGTTAGCTGTCAGGGTCTGCTGTGCTTGGTCTCGAAGGGTTCTGCTTGCTCTCGGAGCTCGAAAAGTCTTCTCTGCAAGTAAAATTTCTGATTCCTGGCCGGCCAAATATTACTGTTGTCACCCCATTATTATTTTCACCGGACCCCCCTATATAGACTTGTTTACACACATCGGCCCGAAAACCTCCCGTAATGGAAAGTAGTCTTCGGCTGAGCCCCTCTGGCCCGGCGAATATTACAGTTGCCACCCCATTTATAGATGTGAGGTTAACATTAAAGGCTGTTGGTGCGACTGGCCTACTGGACTCGCAAGAAGCAGGCTTATCGACTGGTAGATTACATGGTGTCCTTTCTCATAACTCTTGTCGGCGCGGCTTACTATTTCGCGCACCAATTCTGGGATCTTCTGCTTTTTCAAGCGATTTTTCCTGAGATGCGCATTGTGGCGGGGCTGATGTACTCAATACCTGCTTTCGGAATAGCGCTGCTGGTGTGGCGGGCCATACCAAAGATACCCGTGCACTCAACAACTGCGCCGAGGGACTGTCCTTGACAGGGTGTGCTCGAGCCGATTGTTCAAGCCAGCAGAGCCAGCATATGCCTGTGTTGCTTTGCTGTGCATTTGAACAAATGGATATTTTTGAACTTTTCATGGAAACTTTGGGGCGCTCGCAGTTTCACATCCCGCTGCACTTTCCCGGTTTTTGGGAGGTAGTAGGCGGGTGGCGGTCGTTTAGTTTTAGTTGCTTCCGTCACCCTCAGAAGCAGGGTTTTCGGATGCACGGCCCTGAGAAACAGGGCACAATATACAGCGTCCGAGACGTAAACCCAACTCTCTGCAACATCGGTTGGTGTGGACAGCCGAGGGGAAGAAGGCGGCCGAGCTAAGCCTCGCAACCTTTCGGGTTTAGGGTTTTAGGGTTTAGGGTTTAGGGTTTAGGGTTTAGGGTTTAGGGTTTAGGGTTTAGGGTTTAGGGTTTAGGGTTTAAGGTTTAGGGTACCTAATTCCCGTAAAGCAGTAAGAAGCTTGAGTTTGAAAGCTTAAGGATCCGAGATCCGATTCCCGGCTCTCCGAATCTCAACTTGACCTTTGCTGGTCTCATCCGAGTCATGGTCCTGTCCATGCACCCTAGGAATTCGCAACATTAAGCCCTAAACCCTACACGCTAAAACCTTTACACCCTACCTAGACTGTTTTGGAGAGAGACATCGCTGCCAAAGACCACAGACCTCCACAAGAACACGCCACAGAAGCCCGAATTCGGGTGTGGGGGGCATGCGGGTAGTTCTCTAAATTCGGGTCCTTTTGGGGTCCTTATTTTATATGGGTGCCGTACAAAGTCGCACCTCAAGGGGACACTAATCTAGAGATTTAGAGAACTGCCAGTATAGGGATTCTGTAATTCTAAGACCCAGAGAGGACGAAAATTGGGAGGTACGACTCTAGGGAAGACGAACTTGCAAGGGACGACGAAGCTCAAAGTTTCACTCGTATCCTGTGTCGCCCAAGCGCACCCAATGTCATCTAGGGTATGGGGTGTATAGGCTTTTGGATAGGGTGGGCGGGTGCGGTCGGCTCAGGCTGAGGCATTGCCTGTTCTGTTACACACCAGGACAAGCAACGCGCCAACAACCTAGTGTCACACGTGCATCTTCAACTGTGCTGTGCCCTAACCCTAACTCTCAAAACAGAACCTCACAACCCTCAACCCCCACAGTACCCTGAGCTCGAGCCTTGCGCACTCCAAAACCCTATAACAAAGTCCCTTGCCTAAACCCTGAACCCTGAACCCTGAACCCTGAACCCTGAACCCTGAACCCTAAACCCTAAACCCTAAACCCTAAACCCTAAACCCCTCCCATGCCCCTCAATGCCGGCCCACCGGAGCTGCCTTCGTCCGGGCTTCCGACGTCCTTGGCTCCTCTCCGCCCTTCTCGCGCTGTTGGGCTACACCCTGGCGCCCACGAGGGGGGGGGGGGTGGTTTAGGGTTGGTAGGGCCGTTTAGGGTTTAGGGTTTAGGGTTTAAGGATTCAGGTTTAGGGTTTAGGGTTTAGGACCCTAAACCCCCTAAACCCTATAGGGCCGTGGCCCGAAGGGTTTGGGGCAAGGTGCGCAGGGACGGAGCCGCCTACGTCCGAGGGGTTCGAGCACGAATTCGCTGGGGCCACAAGCACCTTCAAGCCGCGACCCAGCTGTCATTCATGGGCTCACGAGTGTTTAGGGTTTAGCAGCTTCTTGTGCCAGGATCCTTCCACACCTCCAGCGCTTTCGTGCTGCTTTCGGGTTTAGGGTTTAGCCTTAAGGGTTTCAGGTCTAGGGTTTAGGGTGTGTTTGCTTTTGCCGTGCTGCTGATTCTGTCGCCGCACGGCGCCGGATACCATGAACTGCAAGAAGTTCCACTGTCTGACCCCTGCAAACTCCCCAGGCCCTAGGCCCTAAACCCCCTAAACCCCCTAAACCCCCTAAACCCCCTAAACCCCCTAAACCCCCTAAACCCCCTAAACCCCCTAAACCCCCTAAACCCCCTAAACCCCCTAAACCCCCTAAACCCCCTAAACCCCCTAAACCCCCTAAACCCTCTAAACCCCCTAATCCCTAAACTCTGAACCCCAGAGAAACCGAGTTTGGTCGTTGGCTGGGGGCTTAAGGCTTTTGGTTTCGGGGGTTCGAGGCCTTGAGGGTTCAGAAGGTTTGGGCTTATAGAAGTTTAGGGTTTAGGGTTTCCCGTCAACTCGGTAAGTCCCAAGCCCGTTCGGTTTGGCCCTCTCCAGGCGTCAGACCTGCTGGACGATGCGGATGCTGCCTGCAACCTGCTGTCCAAGCGCCTGGACAACTGCTCGGAGAACCTGGTCCCCTTCTCGAGCTCATGCCAGCAGGCGTCCGGATTAGGGTTTAGGGTTTAGGATTGAGAGTTTAGGGCGACCCGACTGCCCAACCATCAAACCACCAGCCCTGAACCCTAAACCCTAAACCCTAAACCCCAAACCCTTTGTAAACCCTAAACCCTGATATAGCTGCCGCCCTGAGGCTATGGTGCAGGTGACCAAGAACGCGGATGACGACAGGATGCGCCAGTTACTTGAGGAGATGGTCATTTTTTTGAGGGTTTAGGGTTTAGGGTGTCACTGTTGGTGTTTCTGCCTGCGGCCCCTTATATTCAGGGTATCCAGAACTTGCGACTTATGGCGTTTCTGTGTCGCGGTTTGGGCTTTCGGGTTTCACACGGCAAGATCCGGTGAGCCCTAAACCCCACAAGGCCCTAAACCCCTAAACCCTCAAGACTAAACCTCACCTTGCTCAGAGTCTGGTTCTGTCGCACGTAGCCAATGGCTTTTGATTAGTCTCTCAGGGCTTCCGTTGCGGAAAATTGAGGGTTGAAGATTTAAAGTTTCACCTTTCAGGGGTGTCGATTTAGGGTTTGGGTTTGAGGTTTAGGGTTGGGGTTTTGAGTTTAGGTTTTTCAGGGTTTAGGGTTCAGTGTACAGGATTGAAGAAGGTGTGGTTGAGACGAGTCGCCGGTGTCAGCGAGGTGCCACTGCACATGCTCAGCAAAGAGCTGTGCAGAAGACGTGATACACGGGCAGCCTAGAAACCCAAAACCCTAGGCCCCAAATCCTAAAACCTATACCGGAAACCCCACACCTAAACACAAAGAGAACAAGCTCTTTAGAGCCACAACCTGAAACCCGCCTGAACAGGAGTTGAGCAACGAGCTGATCTGCAACCGAAACCATCTGACGAACGCAGTGGCACCTGGGTTACAGTAGTTAGGGTTTAGGGTTTAGGGTTTTTAGGGTTTACAGGGTTTAGGGTTTAGGGTTTAGGGTTGAGAGTTTGGGGATGAGGGTTCGGGGTTCAGGGCTTCGGGCTGCTCAAGTGTCACCCCGCAGAAACGTCACGTGACCAGGTCCCCCACAACTTCCCTTTGGCCTGCTGCAAGACCTCACTGCAACCGTTTTGGGTTTTTACGGTTCATGGCTTAGGCATCCTAGAAAGGCCAAAGATTAAGCAACCATGAAAAAAACAATGAATCAAACAAGTGCCAAACTTAATCTCGAAGCTGCAAAGAGAAAAGAGATCGTAACAAGGACCAGGCCAAGCTGGTCCTGAGAAGTTTGGCTGAGGCGCCTCTCCATATGGAGAGTGGGACTTCGGGTTAGGGTCTTTAGGGTTTAGGGTTTAGGGTTTGTGGGTAGGGTTTAGGGTTTAGGGTTTAATTAGGGTTTAGGGTTTAGGGTTTAGGGTTTAAGGTTTAGGATTTAGGGTTTATAGGGTTTCGGGTGGAGAGCTGCGACGTTCTGCCCCACCCACGAGCAAACCGCTCGCGCACCGTTGGCCGGGTGCGGGGCGCGCTGCATGGGGGGGGAGTGCCGGCTGAGACAGACGGGTGAATGTCTGCGGGCCACTGCAGGGTACCTCTGCGTACTCTGGCACCGGGACATTGGATGGCATTGGGTATAGGTTTATCGAGTTTCTAGATCATAGAACCCTAAACCCTAAACCCTAAACCCTAAACCCTAAACCCTAAACCCTAAACCCTAAACCCTTAATATGGATTTATAGGAGTCGGCGCACATCTGGAGTCTCCCGCGTCCCCCCGAGGTCCCTTGAGGCCAACGTGCCAACGTGCCTGGGGTGCCGAGGCATATGACAGTGGGGCGATGGGCTAGTGCGCTCCCTGGGGGATTCTTTCAGCACTTGGCGGGGGGGTGCGTCACGGTGCGTCCCCACCGTTCTTTGTGCGCGACCTGCAGCGCTAGCAGGGAAGGCCTCTCAGCATTCAGTCCTGCACTGCATAGAAAGTGACTCGGACTTGGATTGCACTTGTCCTCTCTGTTCTGCATATGCTGCTGGGTTGCATGTCTTGCCTTTCGATTTCAGCGTTGATCCTGTAAGATCGGTCTTGCACGAGTCGCGTGATTTTTGAAGCAGCGTCCCAAGCACTTGCCGCTTCACCATGTGGGTGCTCAGTTAGCTATAGGCTTGTGAGTTTGCAGCAGCACTCTACCCACGAGCAAACCGCTCGCGCACCGTTGGCCGGGTGCGGGGCACGCTGCATGCGGGGGAAGTGTTGGCCACTACGCTGCAGGGTACCTCTGCGTACTAGGGCAGCTGGACACTGGATGGCATTGGGTATAGAAATCGAATTATAGAATTTCCGCTCACTGGGGGATTCTTTCAGCACTTGGCGGGGGCGCGCCCCCACCGTTCTTTGTGCGCGACCTGCAGTGCTAGCAGGGAAGGCCTCTCAGCATTCAGTCCTGCATTGCATAGAAAGTGAGCTCGGACTTGGATTGCACTTGTCCTTTCGGTTCTGCATATGCTGCTGGGTTGCATGTCTTGCCTTTCGATTTCAGCGTTGATCCTGCAAGGTCGATCGCAGGGCATGAGCAGCATCTATCCTGAATCAATGTCCCTAGCTGTGCCTGCTTCGCCCACCTTTTCCAACTTCTGCCACCCCCCTGAGCCTGCAAAGTGAAACCTAAACCCGAGAACTCTTAACCACCCTAAGACCTTGAGATTTTCCTCCTTGAGCCTAACAGTCCTTCATCGGGATTATCGTACCCCCTATTCTAATTACTATTAAGGACTGTTAGTATAAGGGGGGAACATCCCAACTAAGCCCTATAAACCCGAGCCCCCCCAAACCAACTGAAAGACAAGTTGGTGTCCGGCTGGCAGGTGCAGCAGGAACTGGAGGCTTTGAAACAGAAACTGCGGGGACCACCGGTTCCGCGGCAGAACTATCTATTTATCTATGTATCTATCTATCACCCGAAAACCCTAAACCCTAAACCTTAAACCCTAAACCCTAAACCCCAAACCCTAGACCCCAAACCCTAAACCCCAAACCCTAGATCCACATCCCCCAACAAAAAGTTTAAAGTCTTGTGAAAAACATGATAAGGCCTGCCCCCCCCCCCCCCCCAAGGGGGGTTTAGGGCGTAAAGTTTAGGGTTTACCCAGTGTGAGCAACCTGACAAGGCCCACTACGAGGGCGTCAGGGAAGAGGAGAAGGTCCTGTGCGCCGAGATCGGCGAGAGGCATGCTTGGGGCTGTTCAGGGTTTAGGGTTCAGGGTTTAGGGTTTAGGGGCTCAGTGGCCGACCAGGAGCCCTATACCCTTTAAACGCCACCTGAACCCTAAAACCCTCTAGGGTTTAGGGTTCGATCTTGAGAACTTCAACCCCCGGACTCTGTCAACCCCTCAACACGTACGAACCGAACTCCGGGAGGACCGAGCACAGAAGGCTAGGTTCACAGGGTTCCTAGGGTTCCTAGGGTTCCTAGCCTAGGGTTCCTAGGGTTCCTAGGGCTCATAGTTTTCATAGAGTTCATAGGGGTCGTAGGGTTCATAGGGTTCATAGTGTTCGTAGGGTTCATAGTGTTCATAGGGTTCGTAGGGTTCATAGAATTCACAGGGGTCATAAGGTTCATGCTGTTCGTACGGCTCGCAGGCTTCATAGCGTTCACAGTTTAGGGCTTAGGGCTTAGGGCTTAGGGCTTAGGGCTTAGGGCTTAGGGCTTAGGGCTTAGGGGTTAGGGCTTAGGGTTCAGGGTTTGGGCTTAGAGGCTTGAACGGGAAGTGTTCGGGTCACGACACACACCCGAAGCCCTAGACACTCAAGGCCAAGGCCTGCAAACTCTACAGAGACTCTACAGGTCCTAAACTGGATACACCCTAAAACCTAAACCCGAAACCCTAAACCCTCAACCCTAAACCCTAAACCCTAGACCCTAGACCCTAGACCCTAAGCCCTAAACCCTAAACCCTAGCCCTAAACCCCAAACCCCTAAACACGCCAAGCCTGGCCCCCAAAAAACCCTCAAAGCCCCGCACGCCAGATCCGCCATCTACACGCGGCGGACGCAAGACCTCAAAGACACAGTGGCCTCCTTCTTGGAGGCCATGCGAAGACTTGAGGAGTTTAGGGTTTAGGGTTTAGGGTTTAGGGTTTAGGGTTTGTTTAGGTTTTTTGGGTCTATGGTTTGGGGTTTAGGGTCGTTGGGCCTGAGCCTGATGAGCCCCAGGGGTCTGAGCAGGTCTGTCCCTAGAGCCTAAAACAGAGCCCGAAACCCCGAAACAGTCCTAAACCCTAAACCCTAAACCCCAAACCCCAAACCCTAAACCCTAAACCCTAAACCCTAAACCCTGAACCCAAAAGTTTTAACATCATTAGCCTCATCCCTTAAGAGGGGTTACTAAAGGGAATCCCGGCTCTCAGCATCCCTAAACCATGTTCCAACTTTCTGGAGTTTGCTGCAAGCCCTCCGCCGAAAGCAGCAAGGCCCTGACGTGTGCGCGTGAAGACATGAACGGCAAACTGAAGGACGTGGGCCGGAAGGGCTGAAAAAAATTGTTGTTTTTGGTACCTAAACCCTAGTGTATAAGCCCTAGACATGGACCTTAAAGCTAGAAGCCGTACAAACCCTAAATTTAGGAGCCTCCGGCTCAGGCCGCCGACCCAAGAGGCCCGAAACCTCTCAACCCTCAAACCAGGGTTCGGGGGTGTGAGGCGTGTTGTGGGAATGGGGGGGGGTAGAGGCTTCGAACTGTTGGAACCCTAAACCCAAAACCCTCTCAATGTTTCCCCTCTTAGAAACCGCCTGCAAGCCTGGTTTGTCTTGGGGCGGTCTTTGCGAGGAGTTGGCCGTGGAGATCGATTCCCTTCCGAAGGGCGGCGGCCACGAAGCCTCATAGACGAGGCCTGGGGTTTAGGGTTTAGGGTTTGGGGTTTGGGGTTTAGGGTTTAGGGGTTTGGGGTTTGGGGTGTGGGGTTGGGGTTGGGGTTTGGGGTTTGGGGTTCGGGGTTCGGGGTTTAGGGTTTGGGGTTTGGGGTTTGGGGTTCGAACCCCAACCCCGAACCCTAAACCGCAAATCTGTCTAACCCCCCCCCTCAAGCCCCAAAATCCTTGCTGCCAGGCTCCGGTGACTTCCTCCTCACCGACTGTCACAAAGAGCCGAGAGCGGATGGTGAGTTGCACCCTAAACCCGAAACAGGGTTTAGGGCTCAGGGAATAGGTTCTGGGGCCTCTAAGTCTCTACAAGCCCTGAAGTCCTGAGCCCGTTGCTGTGCAAAAAGAAAGAGCCCACGATGGCATGTTCTTGAGGCGGAGGGTTAGGGACTTGGGGGTGTAGGGCTTATGGGGCTTTAGGGAACCCTAAGACCTCAGGGTCGAGGGCTTGCCTACAAACGGTCCAAGGAAACCCTGAATCTACACTCTGAACCCTAAAGCCCTATCCAAACCGTCTCCAAACCCTAAACCTGCAACCGTTTCCAAACCCCAATAAACCCTAAACCCCAAAAACCCTAAACCCCAAACCCTAAACCTCAAACCCTAAACCCCAAACCCCAAACCCTTAGACCCTAAACCCTAAGCGCTTAACCCTAAACCCTGAACCCTAAACCGTAAACCGTCTCCAAGGTCTGCGCTGAGCTCGTGGAGGTCGATGCCGAGGACGAGGGGCCCACGCTCGTCGTGTTGGTGAAGGGAAGGCCCAGGTTTAGGGTTTTAGGGTTTAAGGTTTAGCCTTGGAACCTTAAACCCTTCAGGTGTCAGGGTTTACCCTAGACCCTTTCCAACATATGAAACAGGGCTTCTAATTCGACCCTACACCCTAGTCCCCAAATAGCCCTCAAAGTTTAGAAGGGAACTGCAGGTAGTATGGTAGTATAGGGTTTTATGTTATTGTTCTTGGTGAGTGTATACAGGGGTCCTTTTCAAACATTGGTGCGCGGGTGTATATATGGTGCAAGGCAGCCACACCCCCCCCCCCCCCCCCCCACTAAACAGCAAACCCTAAACCCTCAACCCTCTGTGGTCCAAAAAAACTCCAAACACCCTGGTGCACAGCAGGCCGCTTCTGATCTACCGCGCCTTTGAGGTGGCGGAGGCACGCACGTGTAGGGTTTAGGGTTTAGGGTTTAGGGTTTAGGGTTTAGGGTTTAGGGTTTAGGGTTTAGGGTTTAGGGTTTAGGGTTTAGGGTTTAGGGTTTAGGGTTTAGGGTTTAGGGTTCAGGGTTTAGGGTTTAGGGTTTAGGGTTTAGGGTTTAGGGTTTAGTGTTTGGGGTTTAGGGTTTAGGCGTACGCGTTTAGGATTCTGGGCAGTTTGTGGGGGGGGGTAGTAGAGCTTTTGGGGAATCATTTGGCCCTACCTCCATGGTGGTGGGGTTGGTCTTTGGAGGTCTAATTATGGTTAGGGTCCCAGTGGAAGATTTGGGCTTTATGGCTTTAGGATTTATGGTTTGGGCCTTTAGTTCGGACTTGGGTTCTTAGGACAGTCTGGGTTCAGGGTTCTGCTGAGCCCTAGACCCTAAACCCTTAACCCTAAACATGAAGTAGCAGTTCGAAATCGTCGTGCCTGGAGTGAGTCCAGCCTGACACAGAACTTTCAGCATCGGGAAATCGGTACCAGATGCGTGTGTGGCCCGGCTGCAGACGTTTTCTAAAGCCATGTGTGGCCCCCACAAACACAGTCCAAAACACATGGACTTTTCATCGGAGTTGGGGGTGTGGGGCTTAGGGCCTTGACCTGGGGGCTATGAGGCTTCAGGGTTTGCTGGTTGTGTCAGGGTTTAGGGTTTAAGTGAAGGTTGAGGGGTGGGAGGTAGGGAGTTTGTAGAATCCACTCCTCTTTTCAGAGGCAGAAGGGTCTGCATCAAGCTCTTTCCCGCGCGGCGCCCAGGGCGGCGCATGCTGACCCAACCCCTCGTGCCTTAATCTTGAACTCTAAACCCAGAAAACCCTCAAACCCCTAAACTCTAGACCCTCAACTCTATACTACCCCCGAGTCTTAGAGCCTACAAACCCTAAGCCCTCAACCCTTGAAGAGTTGAGCTCACTTCGAGAGCCCCCTTTTAACTCTACGGATTGAGGGTCCAGTACTTCGTAGGTTAGGGCTCCGTAGCTTTTATTTAAGGGGCAAGAGTTCTGACTCCTTGACCTGCACTTACCTGCTGATGCTCTGGCATCTCCCGGTTCAAGACGGGAAGCCAGCAACTTTTGTGGTGATGCCGGGAGAAACGGGGGAAGGGCCCCCCATGAAGGTAGCCCTAAACCCTGAACTCCAGGCTGAGCGTTACTCATAAAGGCATGTTATGTGTATATATATATATACACATATGTATGTATATGTGAAAAAAGTATATGCTACCATGTATGTATGTAGGTGTATGTAGAGATATCGCCCGGGAAAAGGGGCCATCAGCACGAGCCCAAGACCTCAAACTGAGATCCACTGAGTGCGCCCCCCCCCCCCCCCCCCCCTCGAGTGACCAGGTCTAATCACCCTAAAGCCCCAAAAAGCTAAAACACTAATTATCCCCCGCAAACCCTCAAACCTTAAGAACAACTCTAAACCCTAAAGCCATAAAGCCCGAGCACCCTTAAACTCCCAGACCCTAAAACTCTTAAGCTCTAACCCCGAACCCCTAAAGGCCTAAAAAACCCTCAAACCCCAAATAAACCCCAAAACCCCAAAACCAAAAACCCTAAACCCTAGACCCCTAAACCCTAAACCCTAAACCCTAAAGCCTAAAGCCCTTCAACCCAAGGTTTGGCTTTTGCTTGATTGAGCATGACTCGCTGGGCGTGGTGCTCAGATTCGTTGTCCGGCGTAGACGCTCAGGATGCAGGCATGTGTGGTTTAGGCCTCAGGTTTGGGGCTGTCAAGGCTTTGCAGTCCATTTAGGGTTTCGGGTTTAGGGCTAGGGTTTAGGGTTTAGGGTTTAGGGTTTAGTCTTCGGTCACAGATCTCTGTGTTCCCTTACACTTAAATGCTGGAAGCCCGGCCATGAGACCGGATCGAGCATCGTTCTCACGAACCCTGAACCCTAGCACCTGAATCTTAAGACTTTAAGACCTGAACCTTAAACCCTAAACCCTAGGCCCGAAGCCCTAAGCCCTAAACCGGCTTGTTTTGTCCTCTGTGTGGGGTTTAGAAGGACAACCTTAAGCCCGCGGATGAGAAAGACCATCCCTGCCGCGGAGATCCGGGAGGATGCATGGAGGGCCTCATTCAAAAACAAATGTCATCGGGTTTACTAGTTTACTAAGAAGCCCCTTCCTAAACCTTGAACCCTAAACCCTAAACCCCAAACCCTAAATCCTAAATCCTAAACCCTAACACCCCCACACCCTCACACCCTCACACCCTCACACCCTAACACCGTAAACCTCAAAACCTGACTAAGTTCAGGCTTGGTGCAGTCCCCCACCGACGCTGCGCAGCCAACTCCCCAGCCAGGAAAGGGCGCAGGGGTTTCGAGGGTTTAAGGATTAAGGGTTTACGTAGGGTTTAGGGTGTAAGGACTTGTAAGGATGGAGGGGTTTACGGGTTTAGGGGCTCAAGCATTTCCGGGGCTTGGTTTAGGATTTCGGGCGGGGTTTGGTGGTTTAGGCCCACGTTAGGGTTGGGGTTCAGGGCTGTAGGTTTCCTGGACTGAGGGCTCAGGGTTCAGGGTTCAGGTTCAGGGTTCAGGTTTCAGGTTTCAGGGTTCAGGGTTTAGGGTTTAGGGTTTAGGGTTTAGGGTTTCGGGTTTAGGGTTTAGGGTTTAGGGTTTAGGGTTTACATATGGCGAAGGTCTAGGGGTTTGTGTAGGGCTGCAATGAGGGCCCCGTTGGCGAAGCTTCCAAGGCCGTACCGCCCGACCACGCCGCTGGAGGATGCCACAGGCACCCGAAGTCCTCAATGTCAAGCCCTACACGGTTAACCCTACACGGTTTAGGGTTTAGGGTTTAGGGTTTGGGGTTTAGGGTTTAGGGTTTAGGGTTTAGGGTTTAGGGTTTGGGGTTTGGGGTTTAGGGTTTAGGGTTTAGGGTTTAGGGTTTAGGGTCTAGGGTAACCCTAAACCTTGGGACGTTCCCTCTTCTACTAACCAGCCTTAATGGGGATTCTAGTACCCCGCATTATAGTCCCTACTAAGGACTGTTAGTATAAGGGGGAACATCCCGACCTAAACCCTAAAACTCCTACACCGCCCCCCGCAAAGAACGCCTTGAAGTAAACCCCCCCCCAACCCCAACAGAATGCCTTGAACTGGCGGATTTGACGTTGGGTTTGAAGTTTCAATGGACAGGACTGGAATGTCTCAGAAGTTCCCACGTTCCTAGATGTTGTTTAGGATTTAGGATTTCGGGTTGAGGGTTTAGGGAGCACGCAACGGCATCAGTGAATACGTTTTACATGAGGCTTGTCTTCAAGATCCTGACCTACATGCAAAACCCGAAACCTCAACCTCAACAACGCAGTCGACTTTGGCGCCCGCCGCGTTGCGGAAGGGCTTGGCATTTGAAAGTATTTGGCAAACTTCCCGCGGCACCTGGGAGAACACCCCCCACAGTCTTACAAGCTCGCACCCTGAAGCCCGAACCCGAACCCGAAAATGTCACTTCAGTCACGTTGAACACCCGGCGACCACGCTGTCGTGGCAGGGCATCCGGCTGGCGTCATCGTCGCCCCGCCAGAGCCAGGTACGGCGTTGTAGTTATGCCTGTTTCCATGGTAGTATGACATGTTTTGGGTAGCATGATCCTCACCACCACCCGCGGCGAACCGAAACCCCAATACCCGAAAGCCCTAAGCCCAGCCACTCGGGTCTAAGCCCTAAACCCTAAACCCTAAGCCCTAAACCCCAAACCCCAAACCCTAAACCCTAAACCCCAATTCCTAAACCCTAAACCCCAACTCCTAAAACCCCA